GAGCCCAAGCGGCGGCCCGGGCCGGACGCGGCTTCCCCGCTACCGCCGCCTCCTGCGGCGGCCGCTGCGCAACTCCGACCGCTCTGCGCGCAGCACTGGGGCAACTTTTTCCCTCCGACTCAACTCGCAGCGTGGGTCTCCCTCGCCCCACGGCCCCTCCCTTCCATGCCCTCCCTTTCCAGTCCTCCCTTGTCTGCACCACCGCCAGGCAAAATATTGCTACTTCGAGGCTCCAAATCTGGCCCCCTTTGAATATATTATTTATTTTCTTTGACAAAAAGGCGTGAAGTCAAAGTGATTTTGCGTTTTAAAAAATTCGGAAAAAAAAAGTGTGAGTCTTCATAGTGCTTTGGTACGTTGCGATCTGACTGTTAATCATCTAGATGAAGTTGTATGCTTCAAATAAAATGTTTATTCACCACTCCCTTAAAAACCTGCTACCAGTTCTTTCCTTCATTTAACAGGAGATAACGGTTTAACCGGAATACTTTCTGGGAGGCTAAAAAGTATCAATAGTTTTTCCTCTTCCTCTTTGGATTCTGAATTCATTTCCCGTATGACATCCCTTCTTACTGCAATATCTAACAGTAATAATACTGGCTATTTGATTTTAGAAGACTTTTAAATGCATCTTTTATGTTGAAATGGTCTGTTTGGGATTTAGGCCTAGCATTAATAATGGATAGCAGTTGTTTTTAGTTATTGTAAAAGTTTTTTTTCCCCCCTTCCCTAACAAACTTCCAAGGTTCCTATTTTAGTAACTTGTGAAAGTATGGAATGAAACTTTTCCAGCCACTTTTGGCAAGGTTCGCAATTGCATATGGATAAGATGCAAAGTGCAAGATAATTTGAATGAGTTGCCGACTACAGTGAAAATGCTGAGATTTGAAGACTGAAGTTCTAGCTAGCTAAAGTTTGCGACACTCAGAACTTGTAGATAATACCAGTGTGCTGCAATAGCAGGAAAGAACCCGTAACAGATACATTAGGGTTTTCTGAAATGAGCTCTGAAAAGATAAATTTATATTTTGGGATCGTACATGTATGAGGATATCTGTGTATCCATACAGGCCCAGGACACAGTCCAGTATTTAACAAAGTTGGCTTTTCTGGCTTCATGAGCTATTATCACATTAAGAAAGTTTTTTTTTTTTCTTACACATTTGGCAGTGGGTTTGATGTATTCACTAGGCCTTCTTCTGGAAACATTACTAAGAGAAACACTTAGTGTGTCAGTTTGTGAAGAAAATGTACACTAAATAGTGAATGAGGGCTCCTATGTTTTATGAATTCTTTTAAAAATTGGTTTACAATTCATTTAACTTGCTGGAATATTTATAAAGCTTTAAGGCCAGTTTTAGGAAGAAAAATGTAGTTAGTTTACTGGTCATAAAAAAATGTCTTGGAAGCACAGTGATATAAGTACTCTCAATATAAGAAAGGACAAGCTCCATTTACTTATGTACAATTTTTAAAAAATTTACCAGGAAAATGCCAAATATCTTATTTCAATCCATATGGACATAGCATAACCAAATTGTGTACTTGGCCGTATAATGATAACCCAGCAGAAATTTATAAGAAGTAGTTTCCAGAAATATCAGCATTCAGTGGCTCTTAAACTTGGCTTACTTTCAAATGTTTAAGATGCTGATTGAAAGTCATACCGCTTTTGAAACAGGTTTTCAGGTTTGATTTTATTGGTGGCCTGTAACTTTCTCACTGAGTACATATATAAAATATTCTTTGTTTTTTCTTGAATATTTTGAAATATTATGGAGCTTATGGCAAGATAAGCAGCAACATGATTTATAAGTTTTTTTTTTTAAGAATAATTTATGCTATCCTTGGACACTTCCTATGAGCTAGTGATATTCTTTAGTTTTAATGTTTTGGAATATTTCTAATTGTGAGCTGAGAAAGATAATACTTTAAAAAATTAACTAGTACTTCAGTTGTGCCTGAGTGAATAAAGTTATACAAAATACTGGGCACTTTTGTTGGCACATTCTTGAAACCTTTGGGGAATAATAAGTTGTAAATACTTTTGATGCAAAATTGGGAACTTAGATTATTTTTAATGATTAGTTGACATAGTTGGCCTTGTTTAAGGTTCTTTATCATGAGTTATACAGGCATTTGGTTGCAGGTAAACAAAATCCTCTTGAACACGAATGAAGACAGTTTGCAGTTATTTGAGCAGCATAGCAGCATATTAGGAGTATCTTCGAACACTTAAAATGCCATACTAGAGTGTTTATTTAAAATGTTTATTAACATCAATAAAGCTTTTTATTAAGATAAAGTTTTAACATAAATATGAATTGCTTGGAGCTAAGTTATTCTTTGCGTTTCAAAATGGTGTTGAGACTTTAAAATGAAATCCTTCTTTTGGTGAAAGCCCACTTTGTAGTTTAAGGTAGACTCCAGGAGTTCTTTGCATAATACCACTGAGCCTTGCTCCCCAGCATGTCCTGTATATATAAGAAAGTCAGTCAGTGTGAAGGACTGTTTCAGACATAAAATTTATGTATTTTAGAGCATTTCAAGGATGAGCTCAGAGTTTAGTAATGTTTAAATGCTTTGCGGTGTGGCGTATACCTTAGGAGATAAACTGTGACTTGAAAAGTCTCCCCCTCATCACCACAAAAAAAAAATTTCTTTCTGCTAAAGTATGGGTAAAAAAGATTCTCAAACATCAGAACGTTTTAAATGTTAATGGTTTATAGTAAAGAATAATATAATTCTTGTATTTTTGTCTATTTCCCCTCCACTTAAGGAATGCACACGTTACGGAAACTGACTTTTCCTTTGGATTCTTTTACTGAAGAAGAGCAGTTTTCAAAACTAAACTTGAAACACAGAGCCTGAAACTTGTGCAGGGAGGAAAACAATTAAATGTCAGTTATTGAAGTGATTTATTATGTATTATGTTTCCATTATTTTTTAAAACCAGTTATGCATAATATTTAGACGATTAATTATAATTCACACTATTTTAAGGGACTTCACAATTAAAATACTTTATTAATTTTAACCTCTCAATTTAGTTTACATTTGAAAATTTAAAAATTTAATAATTGCTTTAATAGTAATTCTGTTTTGGACATTACAGTTATTTGTACCTCCAAAATATATATGTAGATGGATATTACAAACTGAAAAAGAATGCATTTTACAACATCTGTCTGTCCTACATCCTTAAAAAAAAAAAAGTCATCAAATATCTCTTTGGTTTTCTTATCCTTATTTATTTGAAAGTAAATAATTTATCTTTTTGGGGAGGTTGCGCGACAGAAAGAAGTTATGTAAGATTAGTGTGGGTTGGTTAATCAAAAGTTGAATGTAGTCAGAAAGACTTGTGGAGGTTACTGTTTAATTTTTTATTTAATTTTATGTTTATGTTTCCTAAGAAAATGCCAGGTATAAAAACAATCATTTTGAGTAAAGAAGGAAGAATAATTTAAATGGTTTACATTAAATTTTATTTTCAAATAACTTGAATTTTTACGAGGCAACCGTGAGAGTTTTTCTGGAGTCTCACAAACATTGAATATACTGGGTTCTCCATTTCCTTTGAGAAAATACCTGAAATGTTATTTCTTTAAAATTAAATAATTACTCTGTTTTTATGAATGATTACTGAAGGGTTTGCACAATCATATCAGTAAATTAAATGTATTTAGTTGCAACAGTGTATGTATTTAGTATTTAGTTGTCACAATGACGCATTCTATTTACTACTTACTGTTCTCATAGTATTAGCAATTATGTCTTGAACATAGGTCTTTAATTTTAGTCTAATGAATATCAAATTTATTTCTTATTTTGCATATGGACCTGCCAAATTTTTCTAAGTTTTTGACCAAAAAAAAAGTACAACTGTAATATTTAAAAGAGGAATTAAGATATTACCAAGATGAATAAGAAACAGATCAGAGCCTACATGCGATATTTTTAGAGGGAAAGTCATTGTTTTCATTGATTGTGGAGACGAATTTTGCTCTTAGATTTCCATAAACATTGACTGGCATCTAAATGTTTAGGATTTGCCAATCTGGCGGCTGGGCCCTGGCTGTACTACAAGTAGTGAGGTCAAGGCTGGAAGAAAATTAGATATGCCTTCTTTGAAATAGGGTTGAGATTATATGTTGTTATAAGCATTTAGATAAATTTCACTTACTATCTAAAGGATTTGGGAACTAGGCCCAACAGTAGAAGTTGGTGCACTGTGGTGAACATATCAAAACATTTTTTAATTTATAGCAGTGTTCTTCAGATTATGAGAAATGATACTGATGGGTTTTTTTTCTTTCTCCCAACTTCCAGTAGGAATTCTCGGTATGATTTTGATAATGTAATACTTGAATCAAATTTCAAGTGAAATGAGAATTTTTTTTAAGGTGACCATTAGAAGAAACGTTGTTTCTTTTTGTTTTCATTATATTCATATTTTTTTTCATTGTCCTTAGGATGAGTTTCATCCTTTCATCGAAGCACTTCTGCCCCACGTCCGAGCCTTCGCCTACACATGGTTCAACCTGCAGGCCCGAAAACGAAAATACTTCAAAAAACATGAAAAACGTATGTCAAAAGAAGAAGAGAGAGCCGTGAAGGATGAGTTGCTAAGTGAAAAACCAGAGGTCAAGCAGAAGTGGGCATCCAGACTTCTGGCAAAGTTACGGAAAGATATCCGACCCGAGTACCGAGAGGATTTTGTTCTTACAGTTACAGGAAAAAAACCTCCATGTTGTGTTCTTTCCAACCCAGACCAGAAAGGCAAGATGCGAAGAATTGACTGCCTCCGCCAGGCAGATAAAGTCTGGAGGTTGGACCTTGTTATGGTGATTTTATTTAAAGGTATTCCGCTCGAAAGTACTGATGGTGAGCGCCTTGTAAAGTCCCCACAGTGCTCGAATCCAGGGCTCTGTGTCCAGCCCCATCACATAGGGGTTTCTGTTAAGGAACTCGATTTATATTTGGCATACTTTGTGCATGCAGCAGGTAAGTGCGATGGTGAGAAGTTGTTCCGCTTTCTTGCCTGTGTTTCTTTACTGGTGACCTCTGTTTATGCTGGACCACTCCTGAACTCCATGGGTTGCAGGCCGCATACATAAAGACAGTGTGGTTTCAAAGATAGAGCAAAGTCAGAACAGCCAGAAGCCTAGTGTTCGAGGTACCGCCTTCATTCAGGTGGGAAAGTAATAGCCTTGAGAGAATTCTCACTAAGTTGATTTCTTTTGGTAAGTAGTGTTGTCAGAGGTGTTGGTAATCAGATGTGTATATGTTTAAATCACATTTTTTTTTTTTATGGATGAGAGACATTTCATGAAAATCCTTGTAATAAAGAATATATTTTAACTGGCAAGAGAGCCAACTATAAAAAGCCTTTAGTATGGTAGTGAGGCAATATTTTCAGTTGCTTTTCTTCTGGGAGTGTTTTTAACCTACTGGGGCCTTTTGAACCCCTTGCCAGTTAAAAAGAAGTGAGAGGTAAGATTACTATCAAATTGCTGAGCATTTATGAAGAAAAAGTAATTACATTAGTATACCAACTTAGTAGCTTTGAATTTAGGGATTCTTAATATTGTCTAAGATACTAAGGGAAACAAAGAAACCAATTCTTTACGTAGATGGAGAGGTTAATATTAAAAGGAACCAAATCTGTATAGTGCATGAACACATTGGGAAATCGATACTGGTAATTGATTTAGTGTGTCGCTTTGTTATAAAATTCTTTATTGTTTCAAGGCTGTTTTCAAGGCATGTTTTACCTGTGCATGTTAAGAGTATTTAGAATAGCATTCAGGATAAAACTATTGAGAACTGGATAAAATAATGCATTTTTACTTTGTTCCTTTAGTCTTGTTTTAGACAAAAGGCTCATTGTGTTATGTGAAAGCTCAGGTCTTGTGTAACTTGTTGACTTTTTATATGTACAAATCGGTCTTGCTAGATTACCTTCATGGCAGTTACTTGAGTCAGATGGAGGAAAGAAGGTTGTGGAATCCTACCAGTAGGTTGTTTTGGGGTTCATATACTTATTTTTTCACAAAGGACAGTGAAGATGATAACCTCTAAAATCAACCCTGCACTGATTTGCAAAGCATTTTTAACTCTAAAAATATTAGATAGTTTTTTTAAAAAGTCAGCTGATGTTATATTTCTATTATTTTTCTCAATACATGTGTTAGAAAGAGAACTTTTGTTATCCATCTGTCCTTACGTAAGAAACTGGAGAAATTAACTTTGCAAGCATGTCACATCATCATTTGTATTCTGTTGGCAGGGGATAGATGTGTATTTTAGAGGATGTGATCTGTAAGTTTCTCAAATATTTGGGTTTTTGAAAACGTATACTTAATGATTAGAAGTGCCTGTTGCTTTAGCCAGTTCTGGGTAGCATGAATTAAAAGGCAAGACCTCTCAAAGATGTCTCAAAAGGAACAAGCAGCCCTCCCCCCACAACCCTGTTGTTCATTTGTTTTGTCTATTGAAAAAGCAAAGTTAATTTTTTTTCCATTTATTTGTACATACAAGTAGAGATTCTGATTGAGAAAGACAAGGTACACAAAAAGTATGGGTGTTTTAAGTGCTTTCACGGAACACTGTTTAAAATCTTTTGTTTATCTTTGGGATATTTAGAAAAGTAAATAATTTGTAAATTATAATCAATGCTATTAATTGTCCAGCATGGAAACTTGAGTGTGCCAACACGTGAAGCAGATCATAGTGTGTGCTAACTTCCAGGGTAACATCTAAATGACATGCTTGTTAAGTTTTTATCAGCGTGAGCAGTATCCATTCTAAGTTTTTGACTTAAACATCTCCAGTACATTTAAAGAAATGCAACCTTTCTAGCTGTTCCCGTTAAATGTATTCTGTTCCGTTGTTAATGGTTTATTATTATGCTATTGCTCCAAATCCTTGAGCGAACACACTTGCTGGTTGTTTCAATACCTGAAGGGTTATGTTGTTAAAATGACATTTAGACGATTGCTTAGGAGAGTTAGCATCCTTATTGCTTATGAAAGATTTATTGACAGCAACATGGATCAGACTACCTTTCGGTTTGGTTTTCCTGATGTATCCCAGAATCCCTTGTTACGCCTGAATGCCAGCCAAGTGTTAGGCCATTGGTTTTCACGGGACCGCAGTAATGGCTGTTGCTCCGTGTGCGCAACAGGAAGATTGAAAAAGAAAATATTAAGGGCTTTTTGTCTGAAAATATTTCATATTTGATTTAAGAGATTTAGAGACCTGTTATTTGTGGAAGGGAAGCTGCCGATACAAATACGAGGTAGATCGGTCATACGTACATACAGCTGGTTTGATGACAAGCATCTGTTGTAATACGGAAGATTTGTAAACACTAAACAATGTTTTTACCTCCTTAAAAGTTTTGAGAATTTGCCAGTATTGGCAGGAGGCAGAGACTCTGAAACGTGCTTCCAGATATATGCCAAAACCATTGTGGCCTTTTCACCTGTAGTGCGTTTTTTTCTCCTTCTCTTAAATTCTGTATTTTTTTTCTTTCCGAAATGTCTTTTCTTTCTAGATGACTACAAAAATGAGATCTTTTCCTTCTAAAGATGTGTGCAGTAACTATTACTTAATGTGTAGGCCTCTTCTTCGGTAGGAATTTGAAATTTTAGAACACACATGTAAATACTGGAAGCTAATGCAGAATCATTTTTTTTAAAAGCAGTGGTGATTTATTCCACGATTTATTGAGATGCTAAAATATAATATATAAACTGCATTCCAGTTTTTTACTCCAAATCAAGTGGCATCAGAACTGTGAATTTTTGTGGCTGATAAACAGTAACAGTGTAATGAAATCTGAGTGATTCCACAAGCCTGAAGATTTCATCTCGTTAAAAATATAAAAGATAAAACCAGTTTATGCTGTTAATTTGGTCTCTATTTGAGTTGTCCTTCCTGTATATCATATGACAACTTGGAAATATTATGGTATTGTGGCGAATGGTTTTCTTTGTGGGCGTCTAACAGTAAAGCTAATTTATGACCAGTCTTTACCAGATGATCTGTATCAGAATCTACAATATACCCGGCACGTGGCAAGGTCACAATTTAAGTTGTTAAGGTCATAACCTTAGCCACCAGGCATTTGACCTTTTAGATAAAGTTAACCTTTGTTCATTAGTAGGCACTCAACCGAGAACTTTCTGGAGAGTTTTTTTTTTTTGTTTTTTTTTTTAACTGCTTCTGTATAACTTCTAGCAATGTAATCAGATTCTAGATGGAGTCTCAGTTGGGTTAGTTAAATTTTGTAAGAGGTTAGGCTTTTTAAGGATTCACCGTTTGGGTAGAGGTAGGTTGCAATATCTAGGCCATAGAATGTCAGTTTCACAATTTATTTTTGATAGCTATTACCTGCTGTAGGGTAGAATCAAAGCTCTAGGGCAGCTGTGTGGAGACATTTAAAACCTAAAACAAGTGGAATTATTTTTAATTCTGCTTAGGCCTCTGCTAATTTTTAAGTGGCATTAGGCCCAAAAGCTAAATCACAATGAGCGTCTTCACCTTTTGCAGATGAGGGATTTTCTAAGATCGGAAGTATTTTTAGCCGTCTTAAAATTCACTTTGAAAGACTAATAAATGACCAAAAGTTGCCAGGTAATTGCTGTAATTGTTAATTAGCCAGTGTCAGAGTGAATTGAATTTGTCCTAATGACGGCAGGAGTACTTGTGGAATACTTGTTAGTTTTAAGGGAGAAAGTGAACACTTTTGCACAGTAATCTTTTACGTCAAGAGTTACTGATTACTTCCATGCTACCCCCTATTCGTCCTGTCTTTAGTTAGTTCTTCTTGGACCAGGAATAGCAAAGGTCCTGTCACTCACAGAAAGAGCTGTTGCAGTGTCTTGGAAGCCTGATACCTGTACTGTAAAACCGTGCAACAGTATTACTGATTACCACATTACTTGTACCATATTGTTCACTTAATTATGCTGTCGTGAATGCTCATTTAAAATTATTTAGATTACTGCTAGTTTTGCTCTCCTATGCCACGTATTATTTCATTTAAATCAAAAGTGAAATGTTCCCATTCGGGTGCATTTTAGTTTTATTTTGCTTCGTGATTGCCATTCCTTCATATAGTAGTAGAGAAAGCCGTGATACGCAGATAGACCAGATGGTCATGTTGACAGATTGAGAATTCACTTCCTACTGCTTCAGAGCAGGTGTAAGATCAGGAGTGTCTGTATATGAGAGTGTTTGTGCTTTGGGTGCATGTGTATGCACATCCAAGCTGCACACGGAGTGCTGTTGAGAGCACGGGCAATGATTCTTCTTAAAAAAGCGAGAACTTTAAATACAGTGTACTATATGGACAAGCTTACTAGTGTACATACAATAATTATTGTAAAAAATTTTTAGTAGATAATGTCAGATCATTACAGCTTATAATTTTTATGTCAAATTAATTATCACAATTTACTAATGTCCAGCTAACTTCTCACATTAGTTTGAGGCAGTCTTGTACATCTAAAATATAGTTAATATATTTTTTAAGCAGGTATGCATGTTTGTGTGTGTTGACACTCATGCCTAGGACAATGCATTATGTAATTAAACTTCTTTAATACCTTAATAAACTCGATAACAAAAAGTTATATAGTTAGTTCCTCCAGTTTATAATAGTAAAGCGTATTTGGAAAAGGAGGATTAAGACTGAGATACAGTGATATTTAAAGTTGAGAGTAAGTACCACTCTGTCTTAAATTCTAACTCTAACCTTCAGCTAAAGCCAAGATGGATTTTGTGGCTGATTGATCTACTGTAAATTATTGGTATATGTACAGATTTGCATTTTTCTTTATTTTTAAATTCTTTAAAGGAGATAGCACTAGTGATCAACAAACTGGAGATAAATACGGCTTTTATATTCTCGAGTGTTTTCTGTGTGCCTTTGAAGATGGTAACAGTGTCCTGTATCTATAATGTAGTGAAAAAGATGGAAATTCAGAGGGAAAGAGTGTATAGAAATTAGGGAAAAATAGCTGTTCTGTAGTAAACCTTTGAATGGAGGTCAGTTCATTTATGACTGTGAGGTTTGAGTGTTGGTAAGAAAATTTCCCAATGCTGCTGGCTTGGATTTGCCTTGTCTTCTTTTCCACCCAGTGATGAATAGCATTAATTTAAACCTATTTAAGGCTAGTGTGGGAGAAACCACAGCCTTTGTTGTGGTCACTGCTGTACACAGTAGGACTGGGTATTTCACTTGGTTAAGGCCTCAAGCTGCTTCCAGAGGACACAGAACAGCCTGTCAGCTTTTTAAGTCTTGCGCAGAAGCAGTAACAATTCTAATTGCTCACAAATGTCAATATAGATTCTTGAAAACAATTTTGAGAATTAGAATAGAAGAAAAAACATAAAATACAGAGGGAGTTCAGTGAATGTGTAAAACACTGGTTTATTACCATCTCAGCAATGAATTCCGTATGGTTATTTAGAGGTTAGGTAATGCTTTTAAATATATTATAAATTGCAAAGTCTTGGGGAAGGTGGAGTAGGGGAAGGAAGAAGTCAGGTGGAAGAGGAAGAGTGAATGAACCAGCCTGCTTTATTAAGAGAAACATAAAACTGTGAACTTAATCACAAATGGAGATGCTCTAAAAAGTGTTTTGGTTTAAGTAATGACTGTAAAGGGATCCTGGGCAGCGAGGTATCACATGGAGAATTTTATAATCTATCTCCCCACAATTTTTTGCGTAGCTTATTTCAGACTAAAAGACTATTTGGGACTTTGGGAGTTTCTATTAAAATTTATGGAAAGAGAAGTCCTACAATTCCTTTTAGAGTATTGGAGTCCAGTTAGAGACACTTCAGTACACATACACTTGGAAAAGGGGCCATGGCAATAGTTTCTATTTTTACCATTTTGCTTACAAAGGTGCTATGTACAGTGACAACTTTTTAACTCTCTTCCACTAAGGCAACTGTAAGATACAATTTATTGATCCAAACTTGAGTGTCCCTGAACTTACCAGAATTCTTTAGATGCTATTTAGAGGGAAGTGACCTTTTTCTCTCTAGGTCTTGCCCAAAATATTGGAAAACAATTCCTCTTGTTTTGTTATGATAATTCCACTGTGTAAAATAGTATATTTTATCTAGTGGAATTAGTTTTCCCATGAAGGTACTAGTTAAATAAACATGGCTTATGAGGCAAAGGAATAAGTTGAACAAACCTCAAATTGCAGCAACCCTGAAGCAGAGGGCATTCTTGTTTTTCTCTTTGTAGAACTAGCACACTAAATAAGATAAAATTGAGAAAAAGAAGTTTATTTGTGTCATAATTTTGGTGTGTGTTGGTCTTATTTAACACGTGATATATGGCTGCCCCCATTTCCAGAATCAATATGATCTAAATAACTGGAGATTAAAGTGGAATAGTTTAAATGGTCTTTGTCTGAGAACTTCAGACTTATTTCTCTTCATGTCTTTCAAATATTTTCTTAGTCATATATTTTGGACCTAGATCAGTTGAGAGTAGAGAAAAGGAGTATGGGAGGAAGGAAGAAAGGGAAGTAAGTTTTATTGAGTGTCTGTTCTGAGGCATGCTCTGTACTAAGTGCTACCATGTATGGTAGCTTAGTCTTTTTTTCTCTTTTCTTTTTTTACTTTGTAGCAGTATTGTGAATAAGTAATGTGCTCCCCATTTATATGGGTGAAAATAGGGTCTTAGAGTGATCAAGTGACTTATGCAGAGGAAGATTCAAACCCAGACCTCCTGATTGTAAACCCTGTGCTCTTTAAAAAAACAACTCAATTCCTTTTTATATCCGTCTTTTACATCCTGTTGTCTAGGGTTGGATGTCATTTAAATGGCATCACACACTAACTTTGACTCAATGGGGAAATAAAAAGTCAAAATCCAAACCCTTCCCACGGATATATTTTACTGTTCAGTTCAGATCTTAGCCACAGAATGAGGCCTCACTTGGTTAGGAGAGAGAGATGGTTTTATGCTTGTCAGTAGTTGGGTCAAAAATCTAGAATGACTTGTTCTTTCTTGTTTTTAGAATGTTGAAGTTTAGTGAATAAAAGCATTATGACACAGGTTTAAGGATTTTTTTTTTTTTAGTAAATTGGTTCTAGATTCTTTGGGAAGCCATTGAGAATTAAAGCAAGCATTATAATAAGAATATTTTGCTGTGCAGATTTTTGTGCATGTTTTCTTATGTGAACAAGAGAAATATATTTTGAATTTCCCTTAATGATTCGATTTTACCATTTAAAATTTACTTCACTCTAAAAAGGACCTTTGATTATGGCCCTGTGTACTAGTATGTAAAAGAAAGCAAGACTCAAGTTTTTGAGAAGAGAATGGAATTTTATTAGTTTTAAAATTATTTCAAAATTTGAAATAGAAAGGAGAAAAATAAAAAATGAGGACAGATTTCATTGTAATGTCCTTAAAGGACTGAGCCTTATTTTTGTTTCTTAAAACAGAAACAAGATTGATTCTTAATGAGTTCAGTGTAAAAACTCAAAGCCTCACCCATATGAACTTTATAATTGTAAATAGAAACAATAACCAATAAATATGATCTATATACTATTATATTAATTTTTCCAAGGCTTATTTAAAAAATAAGCTGCTGAACTAAGCTTATATTGAGTAAAATAGCTATTTAACTTTCTTTTTTAGAAATATTGATAAATCTTTGAGTTGTGGAATACCAGTTATACTGGAAAGGGAAAACTGACGTGTATGAATAAAAGTGATTAAATTGGAAAGTAAGAAGATTGGAATTAAAACAATTGGAACTCATACCCTCTTGTCCTCTGCGTCTAATTCCATTCTGCCTACCTTAAAAATTTTTAAATAGACTTATTTTTAGAGCAGTTTATGTTTATCGAAAAATTGTATAGAAAGTACAGAGTTCCCACATTACCTTCCCACATATACAGTTTCTTCTCTTATTAACATCTTGCATTGGTATGATACATTTGTTGTAATTGATGAACCAATGTTGATACATTATTATTAACTTAAGGCCATAGTTTACATTAGGGTTAGCTCTTTTTGTTGTGTAGTCCTGTGGGCTTTGACAGACACATAGTGCCCATTGGAGTGTCATTGGGAATAGGTTCATTGCTCTAAAAATGCCTTGTGCTCCACTTGTTTATTCCTCCCCACACCCCTCATACTGCCTGCCTTTTTATACCTCTGCTCAGTGCTTACAGTGGTCCCAAATAACTTGTGAGTTTCCAGACATAAACAGTTTTTCAGAGCATATATAGTCATATAAAATTTGTAATGGCTTTTTTTTTTTAATGCACTATGGGTTTAAAAAAATGAGATTAAATAAAAATGACAATAAACATATTTAAAAAAATGAATGCTGTTTAAAAAAGTCTATGTCTGTCTATGTAGCACCTGCCATTGTCAGGCCACTGTCTTTGTTGCTGTGGTTTGGGTGATTTTATTTGCTTCTGTAATTTTGCCAGCGCATGATTGGGTAGTGCAGCATATTCACGCTGTTGGGCAAGATGAATCTTTGATGAGTCATATAGCTTGATCCGAATGGTAGTTTTTGGTAGGGACAGGTATTTTTTAATGAATAATATGAACTCTGTGGTGCTAAAATATCAATTTTAATTTAATTTTCAAAACTAGAGGTATAGTAATCTCAGAAACTCTTCTGTATTGACACATACCTGCCTCTTCCCCCTCTACTATCAAAAGCATTTACAGTTCTGTGTATTTTAATCTTAAAGGTGTTAGTCATTTCATTTTAAACTCCTACCTCAAATAAATGTTGTACCTACAAAAAAACAAAAAAACCAAGCCCGTTGCTGTTGAGTCGATTCTGACTCATACCGACCCTATGGGACAGAGTAGAACTGCCCCATAGGGTTTCCAAGGTTGTAATCTTTAAAGCAGACTGCCACATCTTTTTCCTGCAGAGCGGCTGGTGAGTTCGAACTGCCAGCCTTCCGGTTAGCAGCCAAGTGCTTAACCACTGTGCAACCAGGGCTCCACATTGTACCTACCCAAACCAAAAAACAAAACCCATTGCCGTTGAGTTGATTCTGAGGACAGAGTACAGCTGCCCCACAGGGTTTCCAAGGAGCAGCTGATGGATTCGAACTGCAGACCTTTTAGTTAGCAGCCGAGCTGTTAACCACTGTGCCACCAGGGCTCCATTGTACCTACAGAATCCCATTATTGTCGCCTTCCAAAGGAGCTGACATTACCAGTCCTTAGGTTGACAAATTCTCATCAACTTTTGTGGAAATTTTGGCTGCAGAAGGAGTAAAAGTCAAAGAAAGGCCATAGACAGATGGATTTCAGTTTCAAGATGACATCAAGCCTTTCTTCTGGCATTTTTTAACATTCCAAATGAGTAAGGGATGGAGATGCTGAAAGATCTTACTGTAAAATGAGTAATTAAGATATTGTATATCATAGTAGCATATAGTAGCATGCTATTAAACAGTTATATGGGCTCAGATATTGTAGCAGATTGGCAATGAAAACAGTAAGTGTCTTTTATGCTGAATTCAATTCATAAATAACATTAGATACTTAACATATTGTTGATTGATCAAAAACCGTTTGGACCTGGGTATATATTTTTAGCATTAAAAAATTGGAATTGAAAGATAATTGGGTTACAAACTCTTGGGTTGAAGCAAGGGTTCTGGGTAAGAATTTGGCAAAAGCTTATTTGCATAAAAATGCTTGCATTTTTGTATGACTAGGGCATGATTTTTTCATGGATGCATATTATATAAAAATTACTGACTTACTAAAGTTTCTGATTGATTCATTTAATCCCCTCCCCCCTCCTGCTTCTTTTAAATGGTAGAGGTTCTCTTTTGGAGAGTAGTTTCAAGTAACTTCTGAGAATGAAGTCTTTGTAACTTGATGCTGTTCAACAACATAACTATTGTTGTACGTTCCTGTCAGGAAAAGATAGTCATTGCAATACTTTTATTGTATGGCCTCTTAATGTGACAAGGATTTTTATTAAGAATTCTTTTTTTTTAAAGTACTTTTGAAAGTGTCCCTATCCTCGTCAACCAAGAATTGCAGTGGTTTTAAAAAGATTTAAATAAATTTTGACCATTTCACTCACTGTATGGACAAAAGTCTGATTTTTAACAAAGGTTTTGAAATTCTTGTGTTTTAGATTTTCAGTAAAATGAAGTAGGAATAGAAATTAAGAAAGAAGTGACATCTCATTGGACCTAGGATATATACAGTGCTTTGGAGAATGAGGATATGCAGTCTTAAATGTTAGGGTTAAAGAACTAATTGTTCTAAAGATATTTGCTCATAGTCTTAGAAAAAGATGACAAACATGCAAAATGGATAAATGTATTCCTTTGTACTTTTACCACCTACATTTTTAAACTACAGCAACTCTAATTTCTCTGGAAAGGTCAGAGGTTTCAGACAGAAAGCTTTGTAATTCTTCAAAGAGAGACATTTTCAGTTTTGCTATATAAAGACAGATTATGCATAGCTTTTACTTTATTTACAATTGAGACTTGGAGGTACTGGGAGGGGGTGTTGAATAAGTGAAGCCATGCCATGAGACAGCAGAATTTCTGGACGGAAACATAGTTTGGAGAGAAATATAGATTCACATATTTGGCCCTTTACTACCAAATCACCTTGTTTAAAAATGAGGATTAAAGTAGCTTTAATGATTCATTTTGCTTTGTAACAGAGCATTCTGTTCTGGTTCCACTATTATTTATGGAGTTGGAGATATTTATCTTCTTTTCCAGACCTTTTTCTCAGATCTTTTGCTCATTTACCATAGGAACCTCTACCTGTTTTAAAATAAGCCATTAAAGATGGAGCTTTTACTGCTCTTCTTAGAAAATATTTTCCACATTTTGGTGGGGGGAACCCGTGAGGAACCCAACACATTTCCAGCCTGTTAAACACTTCCATAAAATCATTTATGGTTGCTAAATTTTCAGTTGTATCCATATTGTAAATCAAGAATGATATTCCCTAGGTAGCTTCAAGACTAGGATACATATTGTCGAGGTAATTTGAGTCAGATTCTGCCTAGAAATAAGAGAATTTGTTATAAACTTTTCAAACACTTGAGCAGTTCAAGGAGTTTGCTTTTCTGGGTGTCATTTCTTAGGATTGACTTTGCTGGATTTTCTGAATTGTGGATATGGGTTTCTGTGGTTTTATGTGGGTTTCTTTGTTTTAATTTTGTTTTCCTTTTGGACTTCTCCAAGCTTTGTAGAATTTTTCACTTTGGGTGGTGGAGGGAGCAGAGACTGTAGATGACTTTTGTTGTGGGTTGCTCCTGTTAGTCAGGAAACAGGTTTAGGGAGTGTTAGTAATCACCCATAGTCAAGAGTAAGTGGCAAAGCCAGTATTCAAGCCAAATCCATCAGATCCCAGACTTGTGCTTTTAACCTCAACTATACTTGAATTATCTTTTCTTATGCATTATTTTAATAGCTCTTCATATACACCTTAAATTTTAGGTGGGGGAACTTTTATTATTGCCTTGATGTAGGTTGCAGAAACAGAGTCAGAGATGGGCTGAGTCACTTGTCCAAGGTTACATGGTTGTTCAGTGGTTAGGATTCATAACTAGGTTGAACCCTTCTGTGGCCTGTTTTTTTTCTCTAATGTGTTCCTCAGTATATCAGACTCCCTAAGCTCTGCTTCTGAATTTATGGATGGGCTAAAAAGTTTTCCTTGTGTGTACATAATTACGCTGAAAGCCACTGTTTTCTCTGAAGTTTAAAATCTGTAGGAAACTAGAGCTTTTTCTGTTTTGATATTAGATTTAGAGTTTCATACCTTGAAGGAAACTTAGAAGCCCAAACCTTCATTTTACAGGTGAGGAAACTGAATCCATGCATCCCAGGAGCTATGGAGCTGAAAAAATTCTTGTATAAATTGGACAACAGTTGTAGCCTGTTATCACTTGCATCAAGGTGATTGCTCTTTGGTTGGTGTTGGCATAGAAGATCTATTTTGGCTTGCCTTTATCAATAAATTCTGCCATGTTGTCTGCAGTTCAGTTCAGCAAACATGTTTTGAGTTAGTATGTACTAGGCTCCGAGCTAGATTCCAAAGACACAAAAATGAAGAAAATACTGAGATGAGTTGATGCTATCCTATATGTGATTTCCTAAGAAATCAAGATGTAAAAGCTTTTGTTGTTTTTAAAAGTAGAGCCCTTCCAACTAATATCCTGTATGAAGTTTTAAACATTTACAGAACCAGTTGTTTGTATTGCTTTTTTACTGCACAATTGGTGTATCTTGAGGAATTCTGTCATTTAATTATATTTCTATTGAGTGTTAAATTTTGAACTTTCTGTATAAAAAACATTCTATCTATGTAAACATAAAATCCAAGAGGACACAGAATAGGGTGCAGCTGGTTTTTATTATTTAATACTTCACTGTAGTATGTTTTCTTTTAAAAAAGTTGGTGGTGCACAGAAAAGTTCAATTTCTTTTTTTAAGGGCATCCTTCTAGTAATGCTGAAATATGAAACCAGTAGAGTTATAGGAAAACTAAGCAGCAGGAAAATGGGGGAGTGAAAAACAGAAAGGAAGGAAAGACCTTCGAGAGCAACTCATGGTGAACTCATTTGGCAGTTGGTAATAGTTCCTAAAACATGGCCAAGTCCCAGTAGTGTAGCCACATCAATTCCCTATTTTATTCCCTCTGGGAAGCAAGTTAGCAACAAGGGCAGATTAATTTATAAGCAAGGTACCCATGGGCTTACATTAAGCAAGGTATGCATGGGCTTACTTATGTATTCTTACTAATCTGTAGTACACAGTTTCACATGGGTTTGTGGTGAAAAACAGGTGAAATTTTGCACTGCAGATTAGTAAGTAAGCACAAATAAGCCCGAGAGTACCTTGCTTGTTGAGTAATCCGTCCTTGTTAGCAATCTTGAGACTTTTACACTGAAGTGGATTTTAAGATGTCCAAGGTTTCAAGCTGCTTTGCCTTTCTTTCTCTTGTTAAAACAAAACAGATATGTATTACGTTCGGACAGAAAGCTTGTAAGAGGTTGTATGTGTGAGTGTGTTAAGGAGGCAGCTGTGAGGGTCTTTTGGGAAAGTGTGTACAGGTGGTGATAGGAAAGAGAAGAACTATTGCATGTCTGATAAATAAAATACAAAACAAGTACAACAACAAAAGTCTGGTGGTCCCAAACAGTCTATACTGGGATTTTTTGTTCTCTGTTATAGTTGCTTGTTGTTTAATCTGAAAGTGAAATCTGCTTCTGCAGCCACTAATATGTGTGTATAGAGCACAGAACAAATGATCTGTTCTGTAATTATTTTCAAACAGCAGAAAATGTGTGTGTAACATTTAGAATGGCATGGGATTGTCATAGAAACTCATTCTCAACACTGTAAATAAAAATGGTTGGGGATTAGTCACAGTAACATGTGGGACATCATGAAACTTAAGACAGATTTCTTTTGTTTTATAGTCAGTAAGAGAAGTGAAGTAAACTTGATATAGTTCATGGGATGTTAGCAGTTCAGCTCTTTTTCAGGGAAAGAGAAGACCAGGTTGTCTTCCAATTAAATCAGCCATCTGTATATAAATATCAGAATTTACCTGATGCTTTTAGCAGTAGCTAATGTTTCATTCATTTTAAGAGTGTCTTCTTTTCAAATAATGAAAATCTAAAAAGTTTGAAAATTGCTCTGTTTTTGCTGGTAGTCTTTAGATTCACCCTCCCCCCCCCCACCTTATTTTCTTGTAGTCTTGAGTGGCATTTTTACAGTTCCGTCCTTGTCCTGTTTTCTTTAACCTCCCAGTTTTGTCTTGTAATATGAATAAAACTAAATACTTCAATGATAAAGAACCATCAGCAATGCTATATATTTTAAAATATATATTTTTGGGTTAGAATTGTGAATCCACATTAATGCCATTTACATACTTTTCTGTTTTTTCATCTATTATTGAGAAGAAAATTGTTTCAGAGTGTTCTCATTCTCTCTTTGACCGACATCTGGATAAAGGATTGCTTGTCTTTAAATTTGGTATTAATCCCCAATTGCATGTTCCCACCAGGGTGATGTTTCGATAAACTCTTATGCGTCAGCCTTAGTTCTTTGATTTCTTGAACTTTCAGGGGTAGGAACTGAAGTCTGAGAAGCAGTTTCAGGATTTAAGAAATTTAGTGTTGTGGAATGACTTGTACTTTTGACAAGGCCCCGTTAACAATGCTGTGCATTACTAAATGTTCTTATTGTGTCAAGAGAATAGTTACAGTATTTAAGTAAAGGTAAGGTATATTTAGAGAAATACAGGATAACTAAAGTGGATGCATTTCCTTTCTGGGTTAACCAGTGAACACTTGAGAGTGCCTATGCAGAGACACAAACATTTTGGTGTTCAGAAGAATCAGGGACTCCCTGTCTTTCCTATCTGTCTCCTGTAAGTCTCTACCTAAATTTTTACTGTAGTGTATGGATAGAGAGCCCTGGTGGTGCAAAAGGTTAGTTAAATGCTGAGCTGCTAACTGAATGGTTAGTAGTTTGAACCCACCCAGTGGCTCCATGGAAGAAAGAGCTGGTGATCTGCTTCCGTAAAGATTACAGCCTAGAAAACCCTGTGGGGCAGTTCTGCTGTGTCACATGACGTCACTATGAGTCGAAATCTACTGGACAGCACACAGCAACAACAACAGTATATGCATATATGTTTTTGTTCTTTTCCTCATGCTATTTCTTCTGCTTGAAATGCCCTTACCCACCTTTACTTGGTTAGCTTTACTTGTACTTTAAGACTCAGCTGTAACATCATTTCCTCAAGGAAACCTTTTCACCCCAAGATTGGGCTAAAGGCTCCTTCTCTGTGTTCCTGTAATATCCTGTTAACACTTTATTAGTCCTCACCATTAGCACTTCCTGTGTTGTAATAAAATTATCTGTCTACATCTGTCTTGCAAATTGGGCTGTGATTTCTCTGTGAGCAGGGACGAAGTCCTATCAGTTTTTGTGTATCCTACACAGGTATGTGCTCAGTAGCTCTGTTGACCTGGTGACTAGCTGGAGAATCTGTTGAACAAAACAAAAACTTGAGAGGCTAAGTAACATATAAAATAGTTTTTGAGTGTTCATCTCAGGACTGAATTAAAGCCTTTTTTTTTTTTTTTTTGGTCAGAATTATTTTCCCATTTCGTGTAAACTGTTTCTGTTTCTCCACCAAAATCATTAGTTTTGTATTAAACCAAAGGAGCTACTGACATGTGAATAATTTTAATTCTGAAAATAAAGGTTTGGTGATGCTAGACTTATTTATAGAAAACTATTTAGGCTATTTGTTTTTCTCTCCACAATCCTCATCTTGGCTTATATCTAACTGTTTACATAGAAAAGATGATTTGGGATGAAGGAGTAATGTAGCCATTGCTCCAGCTTATATGTGAAAAAATCGTCTTTCCAGCAGCAGTCATTTTTCAGGTACCTACTGTGTTCTGCGGATCCTGCTAGGTGGGGAAATACAGAATTTTAGTTTCATGCTGTTTGAATTTAGCAGCATCTGGCTGTTTGTAAAGCATACAGTCTTGATTAAAATTGGAGCCTTCAGTGTGGACGCTCACATTTTGTATTGGTTTTGAATCACGTACTGTCTTACTCTGTAGGGAAAGGGCCTGTCAGTCATATCCTTATCTCTAGTGAGCATTTGTAGGATTGTACGTGTGCCCCCACTTAACAGGGTATATTTTGGCGTGGTTACTTACCCTAAGTTGGGAGAGGCGAAAGGCAGTAGTAGTAAAAAAGTTATAGATGAGGATTAAGGTGTTGGGCCGAATTGCATATGGTGAACTCATAAGTTCCTTCTCCTATCCAATACTCTACTCTCATTAAAACTGTTAGACCAATTTCATTAGCTCCAGAATATACCAGCATTTGTAAATCTTCTTTGTTTAATTGGAGACCTATTGATTGTAGGTAACGTAAGCCTCTCTAAGGGAAACAGGACCCAACTGAAGATAAGACTTTCTTCCCCCCAGCACATACAGCATTCATGATTTTATTTCTCTAGGCATGTTCATTATCAAAACCATTCCACTGCAGACTTTCCCATCAAGTGTTTCCGCCTGGCCCATTTTCGTATCTAAAAGCGCCTACTGGTTTCAGCAAAGAATAATAAAAGGATTTTTGACAGAATATACATTTCTTTTTTTACTGAAACCTTGGAAACAATAAACAGGAACTCAGAAAATCATATGAAAACCAATTTGTTTTAAGGAGACTGAGAAAAGTCTTCTTTTGTGCTTTCATAGAATGCTAAAAGGAACCAAATTCTGGCCATATTCTTTGGTGAGCAATAACCAAAAATACTGCAGTGGGCAATGAAAAATGGAATGGAATTTTTTTCACCTACATTCTAATTGGATCTCACAGCTGCAAAGAGGATAGTGTACCAGCCTGAGCATGGCAAAGTACAAGGAATGGGATTTTCCTGGTGTGCTTCATAGGATTGGGACATCTTATTATTGTGAATGTTTAAATTAATGAGACCTGGGATCATTTAAATTTTCTACTGTATCTTCTTGCAATTCAGTGATTCTTTTTGCAAGGTAAGATCCAGGTCTGCTTATAAGGTAATCAGAACCTGAGAAGGAGAGATATTGGTTTAGATGTAGATTTTCATACAGTAACTAAAAAATTATATTTAAATGACATTAAACTGGTCAGCTATTGAAGACATTAATGGCTCTGTTTTTCCTTTCTTAAAATTATACTCAGAAATTAGGTTTAACCTGAATTAGGAAGCACTCTGATTTTTTATTCCTTAAACTATTATTGATCTCCAAACAAGCTATTTTGTTGGTGAAATTGTATCATTTTGGGTAAAATTCATTCTTTTCTAAATTTATAGTTTTGTTGATGAATTCATTTAGCAGTGACTTCATGGCTTTATTGTAGCATTCTGTTTGTTT